CACTAATTGACTTGTTTCAAGCCATATTTAGACAGAGATGTGGTTTTACTAACCTTGTATGCACATCCACAGTATTTTGCTTTTACATATATGTGTCTGTATATATACGTATATGTAAACTATGTGCGTATATATGTCCGCATATATATATATTTATGTGTACGTATGTATATATATGTGTGCGCATATAAATACATTTTGTGTGTAGATATGTCTGTGTACGTATAGATTGGCGCTGGTTCCTAAAAATTCTCTGCAAAGATGTGGATTTAGATCTTGGGGTAAACAAGTTAGTTCGGGATTTTATTAAAATTTCAGTGTATCCACTCACATTTCACTCGTATTTACATATTCAGCAGCTTCCTGTCCAACTGTTTGAGAAATTTACAAAGCAACATGTGTAGAAAAGCAGGTTTGCTACAAGTCAACTAAATTCAGCTTCACTGAATATTATTTACCTGCCAAAGCAAAACAAAGCAATTGCATATGCAAATATATTATGATTATCGACCCTCGTCTGCTTTTGCCCTTGTATTTACAATGTTGGCAGTTTTGTGTTTTTTTAAAAGTTAAAAATTTGAGCATGAAAAAACAAAGTCGTGTCGAATGCATTCCGAAAGACGGTGTTATTTGTGATAACACCAATTCCAAACGGTTGTCTCTTTCGATGCGTGCTCAAGTGTAAGTTGGTCCAAAGTAAAAAGCTGCGAACTCTGAATACGACTTATGAACAAGTTTGCAATTTACAGTTCGTTCCCAACTGAAGAAACACATTCATGTTTTCATCGTATTCAGGATATTTTATAATAAAAGAATAACAGTAGCCAGGTGCATGTATAGGATTTGTTTTTTTTCGCTGCGCTCATTTCTATAACCACAGTCAAGCAGCTATCTCAGCAAGAAAACTGTTCCTTTCATTTCTCAGGAATGTATCCACAACATGTTTCGTCGGCGGTTTAACCATTTTGCATTAGAGACAGGTTATTTATTCAGTAGTGACCATTTCTTAAATAAACGCAAGTATAATTTAACCATTTTTGCATATTATTAAGCAGAACATAACGTTAAATGTGGTGGAGAAGTAAGGAATTAATAGGAGAGGGGGCAAGCAATCTGACAGTGGAGTGCGATCAATATTGTCCTGTCTGCATTTTGCTTGCAATCTCCTAGCACTGAACTGCGCCACCCCTCGAGAAGAGACGGTAGCGCACCTCAAAAAGTTCACTGACCTGTTCTCTCTTAAAGGGGCAGTTACTTGTAGCGTGCACGTTCGTGGGCCAACAGAGACAGACCATTCTCGTGTTGACTTTGCTCAAATCTCCTCGGCATTCGCTCCCTAATCGTTCCTGTTTTATATTTTTTTTAAAAAAGTTTATTTTAAAAGATACAAGAAACACTTCGGAAATGAAGTATCACCTTTCCTGCAAGTTCCGAGTGCCATGAAGCGCTGGGAGTAAAGAATAGAGGCACAACACAGGGAGGCCCTGCTGATTTTCGCGGCCTAGGAAAATCTCACTCACTAAACAGATTTCGGTACATAGATCTCTCCACGGCTACATTCCACACACCTAGACTTCTGTAAATGTGGGCGTGGATATGACCCACACCTTCGTCCAAAATCTGTTCAGAATTGCTCAAGAAGAGGGAACAAAAAGGAAGCAAATAGGCCAAATTTTTTAGCTGAACTATATTCAGAGCAGAATTTCTTTAGCCTTGATTTTTAAAATAGAGTCAGGTCTATTTTTCTAACCATAATGTTGAATGGCTTGTTTGTGACATTGACCCAAACGGGTCGAACTTTCAATTATCGCGTTAACTAAATAATAATGAGAATGAATGTACTTAACTGCATTAAAAGCCTTCTGTGTGTGTATGTACACACATATACATGTAGACAACATATAAGATACAGGTTGAGACAAAGTATTTTATCTCCGTAAATAGTAGATTGTATATGTGATATCCAGCGAGAAACGATATCTTAAATGGAAGTATTTCTATGTCCTATGCAAAATCTCATTTTTGTGTAGCAATCCTAACAAATAAGTACAATGTTTCCTTTTTCAATGAAGTCTTGAGTTTTTTGTAGTATCTCCTTTCTCTCACCATCAACTGTTTTATGGAGTTATATACAGAAGCAGGATCCGTTATTTTTCGCCATGCATTTCTATAAACATTAAATTTAACATATACCTTGCTGGTGATAGAGGCAGAATTTCGTGTCTGGACTATCCACATATTTGCAATTAATCCAGTTCAGGGAAAAACTAATTTGCATTTCTGTGGTTTCATTTCCCTTTATCATTTACATATTTTCATTTCCAAAGACGAAATGTTGTCGCTACATGTGGATTGCCCGGTCATGCCTGCCCCTTGTCATTGCCCATATTGATCTGATCCAGGTTGCACCCCCACAAGGACATTGTCTCGCCCAGTACAGATTTATTCACAGTCATTCGATTCCCCGCTTCCCTTCTCAATTGACCATTTCCTTGAAATTCGTTGTAGCCCAGTTCAATTGCGATTATTCTTCCAGCGAAAGCATTTTAGTACGAGTTTAAAGCATATATGTTGAGATTGTGTGTAAATTGTGTGAGCTGGAAAATGGTCCCTATGTTGCTCACTGAAAGGACTCGTTAGTACATCTGCAGTCACAGAGGTATTGCAGATTTTATTTTTAATTTATTCATTTGTGCATTCGAATATATCCGGGATTATATCTTTCCAGGATCAGTGTTTCAAGTGAGGGGAAATGTTACATGTTCAAAGGTTGAATTAGTTTTATCTCAGTTTGTTTAGTCCAAAGTGTATTTGATTTTTTTCTTGATTAACCATAAGAATTGCTGGAACAAATGGCCCCTTCTGTTGTACCTGCATGACCATAGTCCTGCATGATTTGTAGTGGGTAACCTTGTCGCTTATGTTTTCTGTGTAGAATAATTGTTATATAGTATTTTTGCACGCGCTGTCCGCCTGCCACATACCGTGCCATCAAAAATATTTAATTCAAAAGCAGTGTTTTTGACAGGATATGTGCTTACTTCAAATCCAAACATTGCAAAGTAATTGTACAACGATTGAGGATGGTACATTTGGCATTTTTAAAAAAATAATCCTCACTTAATCATACAATTGTATTGTTTCTTTTTTAAAAAATCTCCGTTTGAGTTGATAGCCCACGCCCTGGTCAAGGCCGAAAGTGATGGTTCCACTGGTGTGTTCATTCTCACTCTACTGAAATATATTTTACATTATTCACTCGTTTCTTTTTTGCTACTTTGTATAACAAAAGTGTTAAACCACCAGGAGAATTTACTTATATTTACTGAAACTGTTTAAGAAAAACTTTGGATTGAAATGAATGTGATGGAAAGCAAACTTCATTGCTTACCAAGCGATTCATGTTTTTTTTTTCCAACGCTACATAGAATTAAGAAATCAAGTGTTCAAGAAACAGCTTTAGACAGGGACTCTTGCCCAATTATTTATTCTTTATGTGGTTTAGCCTTACTTGGAAATGGGAACCAAAATTCTCCAAGGAAACGGCAAGCAGTCCCTTGCGATCATGGTTTCACTGATAATTGAGATGAAGATTTTAATAAATTGGCGAAAAGAAGATCAAGAGTTTATTTTGTTGGACCAGCTTTTGACACACGAGTGCTAATCAGTGCAGCTTGATAACTTAAACTGACGATTCCTTTGCAGAAATTGAGGTATCTGTTAAAGGACACGATTAAAATCTGTGTGACAATATTGTGCAAAGTTTCACGTTAGCCTGACTCAATCTCGCTGGAAACTTCACGGCGCTGTCAAGTTTTTTTTTAATTGTTGCCACAGAAGCAAAATGATTGAAATTAGCTCGCTACTCCTCCTCCTGTCTTATTTTGTCACTGGTGATAAGCGGATGGAGTGCCACATAAATTGATACTTCCAATCTGCATTACAATCATCAGGTATAAAGCAAGAAGCCATTAGATCTCTCTCTAAACTCCTCTAATCCTTTTTTTTTGCACGATTCCTTTTCCCTGGTCCATGTCAATGTGTTGCTCCTGTTTATATTGGATTGGGAAAAATCAGAAAGAGAATCCTCCGCTGGAGGTTGCATTTATTCCACGGTGTGTATTTTCTATTCGGATTGAAAATATTTTAGTGTCAAAATCTACTGCTCCAATATTCACTTCTTAATCTAACTCTGGCTAATTTTGTTTCTACGTAATGATTGTTAGGACAAATTATAGGTCTAGTTCAGCTTCCTGGTTTGAAATAAGCCCCAGTAAAACAAAATCACTTCTGTTCTTTTAGTCAAAATAAATCATTACTTCTATCATGATAATCAGCAATTATTGCTCTGCGTGAAGGGTATGGGGACTTTGTCCTTAACTGGTGCTTCGTCAGCTGTGAAATGCCCCTCTTTGAAGGGAATTCTTCCTTCCATGTTCCCACCAGATCAGTCATTCCTGTTGTGTTGAATTCGATCAGGCCCCACCGTCTCCAAGTAGATCAGCCAGAACCATCACTATTTGCAATAGGACACGAGAATGCAGTAATTTTTATGTTTGTTCAACCGATTTTATTCTGCTTTTAACAAATAGAATGACCGGAGGGAAGGAACATAGGGTCAAGATGGAAAAGAAAACGGTTTACCCTAAAGCGTCGGCACATTAATATTGCTTTCAGGTTTTGTTAGATCGTCAAACATTGTATTAATGTCTTCAACTTTTTTTTAATGTTTATCTTTCAACGACCGTTCCGGGAGCACATCTCTCAAGATAGATACGAACAATACAGTACCTGTTTACGAGATTTTTTTTTACGCATTGTTAATTTCATGATGCTAAAGAAATCGCAAGCCAATCCAAAAGTGAGCCTGGGCAATTAGAAAGGTAAACAGGCAGGATAAGTTTTAATACTGGGACTGGGGATCCTCCCCTTTCGCATTACCATTGGTCACCGAGCCTTCTGACGACATATATTAACCCAGGCTGCCCTAAAGATGTAGCTGTACATGGAGATCGGAGAATCTTGCAGTTCCTCAGCTTCGTCCTAACTGGATCCTGAAGATATTGGAGCACGATTAATGATCATTTTGTTGGGGATTTTTTTCCTCTCTCTGTCTCGTCTGTGTTTCTGCTTATGTGTGTGAGAGAGACAGAGACCAAGGCTGAACCTTGTTTTTTCCCAAATCTATCTGAAGAGGAACCTTTACTTTTTGTTGCTCGTTTTGTTTTTGTGCGCTGTGTATATCTTAATGCTTCTTGGTACTGGAGCCATCACTATTTTTGTTTTGGTCAAAAGAAGACTTTATTTCTCCCCCTCCAAAGTGACAGTTATTCAATGCCAAGCAAACCAGCCGGAGAGTAGCTGCACAATGGAGGAAGTTGACTGTAAGTAAAGCACCGCGATATTTAAAAGCCTAAAACATCCTTCACTTGCAACTTGTTTGTTTGGGCATTATCGAGCCAAAAGGAGAACAAAACAGAACCAAAAAAAAGGTGAAATATCTAAACAGATACTTGCAAAATATTTTACACACTTTTGTGTGTGTGTGTGTGTGTGTGTTTCTGTGTGCGTGTCTTTCTCTCAATTTTTTTTCCTACAAATTGTGGAGAGGGAGAGAGAAAGAGAAAGGACTGGGGGAAGTCGCCTGAGACACGGAAGATGAGTTTAGTTGGAGGATTCCCTCATCATCCAGTGGTACACGATGGTTATCCTTTCGCCGCAGCAGCCGCCGCTGCAGCCGCTAGCCGCTGTCACGAAGAGAGCCCGTACTTCCACGGCTGGCTCATCAGCCACGCCGAAATGTCTCCCCCCGACTACACAATGGCGCCGTCCTACAGCCCCGAGTATGCCAACGGCGGCGCGGGGCTCGACCACTCGTCGTACGGGGGGGTCTCGGCGGCGGCGGCTGCGGCGGCGGTGGTGGGAGGCCGGCCGACGAAGCGCAGGGGAACGGCGAACCGCAAGGAGAGGCGCAGGACTCAGAGCATCAACAGCGCCTTCGCCGAGCTCCGTGAGTGTATTCCCAACGTGCCGGCCGACACCAAACTCTCCAAGATCAAGACCCTGCGCTTGGCCACGAGCTACATTGCCTACCTCATGGACCTCTTGGCTAAAGATGACCAGAATGGGGAGACAGAGGCCTTCAAAGCGGAAATCAAGAAGGTGGATGTAAAGGAGGAGAAAAGGAAGCGGGAACTGGTAAGCACCATTCACTTTGCACTTTTATTATATTATTTTTTGCAGAGCCCTTTCTTTCTCTTAAGGCCTTCCCTCTCCCAGGTTAGTTACATTGCATTTTTTAAAACTTTCTTCTTCCCCCATTTTTCCCAATAATTCTAATCGAAAATTCTTGTTTTTTTTTCACGTTACATCAGTTTTATTAGCTTCGTGAAGTTAATTGCAAAAAAAGGCGCGCTCGGGTTATTTGTAACGAGAGTTAACGGTACGTGTAGACCCTGGAGCAATTTGGGTCTTTTATTCTTACAAGAGACCCGGAGGAAATAATTCCAGTTATTAGACTTTACTCCGAGGTTGGAGTATTGTCCTCGAAAGACTGGAGTATAAGGACGTTAGTTTTTCTGTAAAATCAACAAAACAAAACTGATTATATCTCAGAACTGTAATTTCCAGTTCTTCAGCCCTTACTTTGTATTTTTTTCTTTGTCAAGCTGGAACAAACATGTGGAAAAAATCCTGAAAATTAAGTTCTGATATTTAAATATTCGTCCACTCGCTTTCTGTGAACCCCTTTAACTCAGACTGTGTTTCAACAGCTTGACATTGAGCTGAAAATATTTCAACCAACTAAAATTTCTCCAGCCTAATACATTCCTTGCAATAACTCTTCCCCCTTTCCCTTAATGCATGTAAATTTTCAAAAGAAGCAAGCTGCTGTTGGCTCCTACTAATAACCTGGTCCGAACTCATTCAAGAATATGGTACCACTACCAAGGTCACAGGCTAAACGTGGAAATGTTTTCTAAAAAAACACATATTATCTGTGAGAGTGAAAAAAAATGTACACACGGCTGAATCGGGGCAGCAAATCCTTCTGTAACAGGAGAAACGTGAACTAAAATTCCCAGATTGTGCTGCCGAAATGGTTCAAAACGCAACAACACTACATTTGAAATAGCCACCTTTTTTGAGTTAAAAGGCTGTTTTGGGAGCGAGTAATTTTGGCACCCGCGTTTGTGGGGGCTTTGTTTATATATATAGAATATAATAATTGCAACGGGGCCGATTGTCGCATCGTAAATAATTGTCTGCCGTTTTACTTTGCTGGGGTTTGACAGAATGAGGTTCTGAAGAATACAGTAAGCAGCAGTGACAAAAAGACGAAAGGAAGAACCGGCTGGCCACAACACGTCTGGGCTCTGGAGCTCAAACAGTGAAAGTTTGAACGTGAACTTTCGAAGATGGGGGTAGACGAGACTTTCCAAAGTTGTTTCTTCCCCTGCCACACCACCCCAAAAGAAAAAGAAAACAAGCCCCTTCGCCCAAACTTTCGCAAGTCGACAGGAGCTCTCTATTGTTCCGAATCAACTCTTTATTTATGTGCAATTTATCCCAACCCAGAGAGAGCGGGAGAGAACGGATCGGTGGATGAGGGGAAAAAAATTCACATTCGGAACAGAAAAGCCGAGTGGGTAAGGGGTTGTATTGTTTCATAGTAGATGTGAATGGTTTGCTTTTCTTTTTTTAAGTGTTGAAAAATATAGCACGCACAGACACACACAATCTTGATAAGAATTATGTATGTGAAGTGTATCGTTGGGAGTGTCTTGTACATCTTTGTTGGATATACATATTCAAGGTCGTTTTCCCCCACCCCTAACGTAATATTGGAACGAAGAGTAGGAGTGCCAAAGTGCAGTTTGCTCATATTAGTGTACAGTACATAGTATTGTGTTGTGGTCAGACGGTATTTCATTCCATAATTTCCCAGTAATTGTTTGACTTGTGCACTTCCGTTCAACAAGTGGAGATTAATATTCGAGATGTAAACGTTGTAATTATTGTCAATAAAAAAAAACACTTTTTTAACAAAAGTACCTAGGTATATACATTTGCATCATTTCGACTCAGTCTACTGACATAAATAGATTAAATTCAGGTTAAATTATGTGCAATCTAACAACAATTCAAATGGTGAGGGGGGGACATATAAAAAGACAAATGGCCTCGCTGAATGCACCAAAAAAAATTGAGCCCAGATTAAAATATTTGCTTTTTTCGTAGAGAGTAGGAAGGTTTAACGCTTGTGCCTGTGTGTGTGAGAGGGAGAGAGAGAGACTTTGCTGGAATTACAATTTCTTTTGGGGTACTTTAAATCGCAAATGGCAGACATCCAACACATTAATTACAACAGATTTGTAAAGGTTTCCAAACATTCTCCGGCGCTGAGTAAGGGTTCTTGTCTGAGGAACGTGAACTGATCCCTATAGGATTTTTAAACTCCCTCCAAAAAAAGAAAAAAATGTTTTCTAATTAACGTGCACAATTCCTATAGGATTTTAACCTATTTTCTCTCTCAAAATAAAGTCAATGTTGATAAAGTGTAGGACTATGAGATAAATAGAGAATTTAATTGGAGATTGGTCAAATTAGAACAGGCGACCGACAAGTCAGCCTAGCCATATAGGATTTAAAGATTGAGAGATCTGTTCTGTGGGCCCAACCAAAACATTAAGCCTCCATATATAAAAATATTTTTGCTTGAACTTCTATGAGGAGCGGGGGATGCGGAATGCTTAACATTGCTCAGTCAGATACAATTGTTTGCTTGCACTGGGTTCCATCTGCGTTCGAGGGCTTGAGAAAGTTTTATTTTTAGTCTCGTCTTAAAACTGTCGCTGCTGAAATGGCACTGGTTTTGTTATTTTTTTGTAACGGGGAAGGGCGGTTGTTTTCCAGGTATGCGAGGGACTTACCTTTAACTTCTGCCGGTCTGGAATAGTAAATACATTTCCCGTCTTTATTATTCCACGTTGTTATCCGAATCGTTTAACGTGTGTGTTAACGTGTTAGTTACTGTCAACAATGAGAAGCCAGTTTATGTGGTACAGTTAGCCTTAAGACTTTTTTGTTTTTGAATCAAACCTGCAATTGAGTATTTCAGAACTTCTTCAGTGTTGAGTGAATTTCACCGCGCTGTCTTAATGAAGCGGAAAGTCTCGGGTGTTTGCACCCTATGGGTGTCTGACTGTACCGCCCTCCCCCACTCTATTTTTATAACACTTAAACGCCAGCTCGGGTAGGTATATCTGCAATTGCCCATAAAAGATAAGAGAAGCTTTACGCCAGTGCAAATAGGTTACAAAGGCAAAGGTTGCGGGGTTAACAAAACTAGTTGTGGATGGGGTAAAGTGATGTGCCCCCAAAGGGTCATATTTTATATTGGCTGTGTTTACACAGAAGTGCATTTGTGACTAATACGGCTGATGGTTGCAGCCTGTCCCCTGCTTACAAAGGGAAATTTGATGCCATCTTCTACTCCCTGCGTGACTCTAACTCATCCACTCATCGGCTAGGTGTACCTACTGGTCCAAAAGTCTTCGAGGGTATTGGTTGAATATGTTTTTAACTGGGGGCAAGCGACCCTACTGTGGAGAGCGTTCTAGGGATTTCATTGTTGTAGGCAACTAACGGCTGTCTGCATGGAATCATATTTTTTCACCATCAACACGAATTGCATTTACCCAGAACATATTGCCCGATTTTCCTGAGAGTGAACAACAATGAGATTACATTTGTCCCGTCGCCCCTGCCATTCTACCGGTGCCAATCAGGAATAAAGATGCCACTTGCATATGAGATTAAATACTGTGCTGTTTTTACTTCAAAAGTGGACAATGGACAGAGTAATGGAAACGAGGGTTTGCACTGTCCAGATGTTTACTTGATGAAGCCCTTTTTAAACCGCAGGGGTGTTCCTGGGTGCCACTAGGCCGACACATTATGATTAAGGCTCTGAACAAATAAACACCAGCCACTTCCTGATGGCTCATATAGCTACCAAGAGGAACAAATATATTCTACAAAAGAGCAGTGGGATTCTAAACTGCAAGGTCGGTGAATCTGCTGTTTAATAGTGTACTAGACAGCGAATATATGTAATACAGAGGGATTGGTATAACGGCCAGTTCCTTGTTGAAGGACGGTGTAGCCTTCTTTAAAACGGCCCTGTGCTTTTGGCTCGTAGACAAGCCGGAGCCACAGCAAATGCCCAATTTGACGCTGAAAGCTAAATGGTGCTGTTAGACGGTCTGAGCTATATTGATGGGCCATCGGGAATGTCAGTGACATGGCCCCGATACGACATGTGGGTTTGGCGTTGGTGATGATATAATTAGCTGAGTGGACGGCCCTTTTGCATTCTGCAAACCTTTTGTTTTTATTCAGCCTGCCCAATAGTCAGTCAATTCGTTGGCTGAGAAGTCTCAAGGGGTCGTCAAGTTTATATTCAGTTGGTTAAATTCTTGTTTACAGCAGCATTGCCCTCATCTGGCTCATCCTTCTCAGCAGCTCCATCCAGTAGTGTGGACCTGCAAATAACAAAGACTGTCGCTCTTCCCATTAATCTTCTATGACAACAGCACTGGTGGTAAAATTCGGCGTTTGATTTGACCGAGAATATCTAGAACATTGTAATCTTCGAAATGGTTCAAAATGATCCATCCACATCAAACCTCAGCAATTGCAGTCTCCCAATGTGTTCTAATTAGAGAACTTACTGCACAATATTATTATAGAAGTTTGTACCTCACACTTAAGCAGGAAGATTGTTCCCATTCTATTATTTGGTTACTTGAGATCTTCTAGCGGAGATCCAGCTGTTTTAATCATGTGAGGATATGAGCCTTGATTTTGGACATTTCTGTATTCATTCGTCCATTTCTGTTTCTTACTTTCTAAAAAAATATATATTCTGAAAGATCCCGTTGATTGGTGCGGCGAATGCACAAGGAAATTACGCATTTAAGCAAACTCGAATTGAAGCTTGCAATGGTACTGTGCGGATCATATTTGCCAGCTTGCTACATTAGCCAGCTAGCAGCCCACAAATTTGACCCAATGACCCTACAAAGCAATGTATCTAATTAAACCTCATTCACAGTCCATTGAGATAGCGTGAGGTAAGAGGATGATCTGCCGGCGATGCACAGTTAAAAAAATATTTTTGAGATACATCTACATTGATTCACGCCTGGGCCTGCCCATTTGACCAAAGTATGGCCGGTTGAAATATGCACCGCGCCCAGTGACTGAGTTTATAAAATACAGATAATGTTGTGTGCTGATGAACTGTTGTTTTAAATTATCATTGCTTTAATGGCTAGGGTGTGGGCGGACAATAATCTCCGCTCTTAAAAAAAGGATTAGTATTGTAATTTTTTTTATGTAAAGGGCTCTTTGAACGCGGCACAGTTCTGAATAAGCCGACCCTTAAAATAACACAACTAAAACAAAGATCTGCGCATGCTGAGGATCTGAAACAAACGAAATTCATCACGTTTCTCCAGCAATTTCTGTTTCTGTTTCAGACCTTCAGCATCCGCAGTTCTTTATTTTATTTTAGTGTTTCGATCGCTGCCGTAAAAGAACTACTTTCAAAGAAAGCAGAAGTTGGCTGGGTAGCACAGTGTTGCAGAGTGTCTTTTGTATAAGATATACCTCACTTTGAAAAAAAAGAAAATCAAGAAAGCTTATAAATAATGGCGTAGAAACAGCGGTATTTAATGTATGCAGATAAGATGGCTTACTAGTTGTAGAGAGAGAAATGGCAGCTTCTGAACGATTGGAACTTTAAAACAAATAATTACTATAATTGATCTTTATGTACACGTTGAATGTTTACAAAAATAGCCTAGGTGACTGATTATCTGATGTATATTTATAATTAATCACATTCAGCAGTAAATATTAAGAGGCCCTTTGATTAGAACGATAGTCATTAATGTGTGTACATACAATATACAATAGTTTCCCTTGCTGGAATAGATGGTGAGCTTTAACGGTAAAGGCTACTTGCAACTTCCACGCAATAAAGATGTATCATCTTGTCGTCAATTGCAATCCCTATAGGCGGCTCCTATCTCTATCGCCTGGCTCTTGTTTTTCTGGGACATTCGCAGACAACACGCCTTCCCCTAACCCCCACTCCCACTCCTCGACACGCATATTCCTGAAGGCAAAAACAACTGATTAGCTTGAACATGGTATTAGTAGGTCCCAATGTCGCCAATAACCAGATAATTGCTGATAATTTGTTATCAGTGTCAAGATGGCGTCAAACATAGACCCAGGGGCCATTCCCCTCCGATTGAAGCGAGAGATAATCCTTGACCTTGGAACGACCTTTGGGTTGATGCCAGTGATGGAACCAAAGAAATAAAAGTCGACCTGAGAAACAGGTGGTTCACTCCCATGGTTTCCACAGTAAACATTGCAAAAGGAGGAGTGGCTGTGATTGGAGAGGCATTGTGATTTCTGGTTTGAAGCTGAAACAAACCTCTACTTAACCCCAAATCGGTTCGATGTGATAGGAAAGTTATATAAGAGCTCACGTTTTCGAAAATGCATTTGTCTCCAGCGTTTCTAAGCCTCACTATATAATCTATGATTACAAAGATGTTAAAATTCCAGCAATGACAGCGGCCAAGATTCAACCAAGTTTACGAGATATGACTATCCTCCAACTTTTCCTATTTAGCTTTACGAAAAGCAGTAGAAATTGTTCCTCCAGGCATCTTTTTCCCCGTCTTTGTTCGTCGTATTTTATATTGTTGGCTTAGAGTTTGATCTTGCGACACCATGCAACTTCTTACTTGTGGTGTAACAGACATCTGGGAGTGATTACTGCGCGCAACCTTCCCCCCGGTTGCATGTTCTATCTTTTCAAACTCGCTCTATAGACAGGTTGACGTCAGATCAGACGACCAGGAGTCATCCTGCTCTCGAATTGGGTGTAATCAAACAACTTCTTCCAGTTCGAGGCATTGGGTTTCAAAATACGGAATGCGGATGC